AGAGCTGGTGATTGTTGGAAACACTAACAGAGATGGTTTTAATGAGTTTTATGTAGTTTCTGTCGACTTTGAACAATTACAATTTTACGAGGTAAAATTAGTGTTTTTGTCTCTGGAGTCTGGTGGAGAGAGATATTATGGTCTATCTCTGTAGGGATCCTTTAAATATTATCAGACACACAGATTGATGTTACTGAAACCATCAAATGTTCTTCTTACTTTGAAAATAACTTGTTGAACGTTCTCTGCTCACACTGAGAATGAAATGGACTCACGAGTTGTTTGTTTGAAGGTCTGTGAAACTGAACGGAGAGCTGTTGAAGATGGTGGATGATAAAACTCTTCCGGATCTAAAAGGAAGCCGACTCCGTCCGGCTCAACATCTGCAGCTTCCTGCGTACTCGCTGGCCTTCTTCGTCCTCACCGACGCTCGAGCTGCGGCCTGCGCCTGACCTGAGAGACCTTCAGAGGACGGACTGAAGTCAGTGAATCTCTACAGAAGAGTTTCTTTCTGGATGCCGGAGTGTTGTATTTATAGAAAAACATTGTGTGCGGTGCTAATAAAGTTTTTTCTAATTCAGTTGAAAAGATGGTGGACGAGGTTTCAGTGTGGTCGCGCTGCCGTTGCCATCTTGGCAGTCCTCCACACTCAGCTAATCTACATTAATTGTTAGCTACCTAGTTAAATGAGATAGATAATGTTAGTAAAATGATAACTAGCCAGCTAATTTACAGCAATAATTAGCTAATTAATCTACATTAACTGTTAGGTTCAGTTACATCTGATAGCTAATAACCACTACAATTACCTAAATGCTAACATAGTCGTGTTCACCATAGCGTGTTAGCATGCTGACATTAGCTGATTAGCAGTAAACTGATGGGAATCATTAGTTCCGCAGGTATTACAGATGATCAATAGTTATAACAGTTCCTCCTGACGGGAACATGAATGTTAAAATAGCTGAAAAAGAATACATTTGAGTCATTTTTCATGTTTTTATTTGAACTTAAAGACAAACTTTGATGTTTCTGGACCAAACTGCAGCAGATTATATTTTCGGGCTCGTTATTCTTCCTGCTCCTCTCCGTGTGTGATGATGTAACACAGAGACTTGTAGTCCAGGTTTCCTGCAGCGTCGATATTGGAGGACTGGAACATCTGTTTCACCTGCAGCCACACAGATCAATAATAATCAACCGATCAGAAATCAGTGTTTGTTCTGGTTCCTACAGTTTGAGCTTCACTGATGATTAATGTGCAATTATTGTTCCTAAAAGTATATTTTAACAGCAGTCGGATGTAACTAAGTACAATTTAAGGTACTTTTCTGATCTACTACATCTCAGAGGGAAAATATTTTTACTACATTTATTTAATAAGTTACGTTACTGTAGATTCAGATTACTAATACAAAATGTAATCAATTAATAAAATATGATGTATTATTATAGATTAAGATAAAACTTTATTGATCCCAGGGGAAGTTCACAAGCTACTTGACAGATTAAGTATATAAAGAAATTAAAAATCAGCTCCATCTTCACACATTAATGCATTGGTCCAATAATATATATTATTCTGTAGAATGAGTACTTTCACTTTTAGTATTTTAAGTATATTTTGATTCCAGTACTTTGGTATTTTTTACTTGTAATAGAGTATTTCTACACTGTGGTACTTTACGATGTTTTTAATTCAAATAAACAATTTTCTACAAATGTGTGTCAGAGTTTTTAAATATAAATAGTGGGCGTGTTCATTGCGCAGCGCCCCCTGATGATGATCAGTGACAGTGTATATGAAGGCCAGCAGGGGGCGCTCCACTGGCTGCAGTAACACGCAGATTACATTCAGACTTCTCTCTTCCTTTATGAGCTCAGTAAACAGTTTCCTGATGAGTTTCTGGTCTCGCGCCCAGCTTCTAGTTTCGATTCTTCTTCAATACAGCATGATGTTCATTTAGAAACTGATGGTCCCATTTAGAGTAAAACACACCATAAAGCCTAACCCTAATAAAACAGCGCTGAAAATATCTTTGTTAAAATGTATTACGGCAAAATTATTAGTGTTTGGTTGTTTTTTGTCTTTGTGGGTCCAGTTCAGGCACTTGGCTCATGTAGATTCAAGAAAAATACTCAATGCTATAAATATTTTTTAATTTAAGAAAGAAAATGTTGATTTTCATGAAGAAATGTTGACTTTTAGGAATCAATAACGGACAGAAAGTACAGCATGGATGCAGTTATTATAGTTTAAGTTTAGAGTTAGTTTATTACGTTTTACCTCCTCAGGTGTGAACCGGTCTGCTTGTGTCATCAGTAGTTTCTGTATTCTGCGAAAACAAAGAAAAAAAGTCTTTAGTTGCTTTTACCTCAGAAGTGACGTTTGTAAATCTCTAAACTTACTCGTCTTTGTGAACATAGCCTTTGGCGTCAGGATCGAACATTTTGAAGGCGTTTAAGATTGTGTCTTCGGGGTCTGTACCTGCACACAGAAACCAGACACACATATGAACTCATGTTCAGGTGTTATTGTCCTCATTAGCCTTCATACGAGTCAGTTGGCTCGTTCCATCAGGATTAACGTGCCTGATTTCACAGCAGTTTGACATACGACTCAAAGTTTTGCGTGGTGGTCCGCGATGATCGGTGAAACTCACAGGAAACTACAATGATTGGACAAAATATAAAGGTTGTGCAGAATTCACGTGGAATGGTTGAATATGTGGTTGTATATAAGCAAAGCATATTAAGATCAATATTCATGTGCAACAACTTCCTTGTTTCCTTTAATAATATTCATATTTGTTTTGTTTCCTTCAGCCTCTATAACTTCCTGTACAGGTGGGCATGTTTTGAACTCTTCACCGCTGACAACTTCGAATAATGATCGTGAGTTGTGTAATGTCCGTGGTCGACCCTTCCCAGTCAACGTTCTCTCTTTAAGGTTCTCACCGTGCAGCTTCTCTCCGAACAGGTTGAGGAACATGGTGAAGTTGATGGGACCCGTTGCTTCTTTCAGCATGTCCTCCACCTCGTTGTCCTTCACATTGAGTTTACCTGAGGAAACATCGTACGTCAGCTCGCGTCTGACAGAAAACCTGCTCGCTGTGTTCATTTCCAACCGGAGATACAAACCCAGCGACGCGTACGTGTCCTTCAGATCCTCCTTATCGATGAATCCGTCCCGGTTCTGATCGATGAGTGTGAACGCCTGAGTTAGGAAGACGAACACGTGTAACTACGAGGTGGAAACTGGATGAATATCTCGTGAATGTGACGACTTTACCTCTTTGAACTCTTGGATCTGAGTTTGTTCGAACATGGAGAAAACATTGGACGAGGCTCTCTGAGCTCTTTTGGCGCCTCCTTCCTTCTTCTTCGTCTTTCTGCTCGCCTGAAACAGAGAATACAGACATTATTATTATTAGTGTAAACTCAATAAACTCAATATGTTATATTTCTTTTATTTCCACATTAAAGTCCACTCTCAGTGTCTGTGCACTGGTGGATAAGTTGCATACTAGACCAGGGTGGACCAAACTATTTGTGATGTCATAAATCATGCTCATAGGCCCCGCCCCCTAAAATCTGATATTTATTGAACTCAGAGAAACTTTCCACTTTCAGCAGATGAAGGTAAAAATATCCTTCTAGTGTCAAACTATATTTTTCAAATACAAAATGGACGTTTAAAGTGGAATATTTCAACTCCCAGTGGACAAATTTTATTTATTTATTTATATGATTAATAAACTAAAGCTGCATTTAAGAATCAAGAAAGCGCAAAGTCATTGGTGTGAATGTTCACATGTATTATTTATTTAAATTGGCGTTTTTTCCTCCTGCACAGTATTTGTCATTGAGCTGTCTGTGCTGCTGTGGTTATGGATTCATCATATAAATAACCTCAAAATTAAACAAAATCAGCCCACTAGGAGTTTAAAATATGGTCCATTTGGTCAGAAATGAATTCAACACCTTAAATAACCCCCAAAACATTGTCCAAATCAACCAAGCAGTTAATGCTCATTATGCTAATTGAATCTGTCAGACTCCATTTCTAACAGAAACCTCTGCTACTCAACATTTCTGTGTTTAAATGGAGCTTATTATTTATTATTTGTATCATTGTGTTCTTAAATGAATTAAAAATGAGACCGATACACGGAGCATGAAGAGTTTCCTGTCGCTCACACTGACCTCAGCTGATCTCCTGAAGCTTGTGAAGTTCAATATGTAAATTACAGTTAAAGTTATTATAAACTGTGATTTTGATATAAAAGCAGAAACAGAAAATAATGTGAGCACGTACCATGGTCTGCTGCTGGTTCTCCGGTGCTGCAGTCAGTCTAATGATTTGGGGGCCGAGACTTTAAGTACAGCAGCTGTCTGGGTCGCAGGGAGGGGGATGTGATGATAGTCCGATCGAAGCGGGGTCTTCGGGGACGAGCCGGGATCGAAGGGGGACCCCCCAGGCCTGCAGAGTTCCCCTTACATGGGCAAGATGTTGGATGAAACCCGGGTTCTCTGGAGGCCCAACAACTGCTGCTGCTGATCAAACCTTTTAAAGTGTTTCTATTTCCAGAGTTTCACATCAGAGACGGACTGAGACCGTCTGTGTTCTTTGTTAAAGTCAGATATAAAACTGTTTTTATTCTGAACTTAAAGAAACATTTGTTTTGGAGGTCAGAGATGTCGTTTGTTCCATTTTTGTTCTCCATGTTTATGTAATCCTTTATTCTTCTTTAAATGCAACTTTTCACATCAAATAAATCTTCAGTTTCAAACCATCCTGATTATTCTGGAAAAGAAAATGTGCTATCATCCATATTTAATTAACACCAACAGTGACAGTGTGAAACTCCACATAATAAAGAACAAACATTAAAAACAGTCTTACTGTTATTAAAGGAGAAAGAAGTTCTGTTTCAGTTTTAGCTTCCATCTCAGTGGATCTGATGAAGAAACTGGATTATTGAACTGTTAATTATATGAAACTGGGTGTTACATTATTTCCATACAGTGTTCAGTTTGGTCATGTTTTATCCATTAGTTTTAGTTATTATTTCAATAATTCATCCATTGCTTGTAGCAAACTGTTGCAATAAAGTCACCTTAAAACACCTAAAATGAATTCTTTCCTCTATAATCTTCACTGCAGGTTGGACGTCACTGAACTGTATCTGTTGTATTTCTGTATATATATATTTAAATGAATGTATCAGTGATGTTGGTGTCATTGTCATAACTGAATTATTTTATGAGCACATTTGAAATAAATGGTACTTTAAAAAACATCAATATTGGAATAAAATAACAGAACTTTAAAACAAATACATTAAATACAATAAAATGAAGAAAACTAAATGAAATGTCCTCTGAAGGGTCTGAATATTAATATTCTGGTTCCTTAGTTACAAAATGTGTATTTTTATGTTAAATGTGTGTTTGAAGCAGTTTGATGAGCGTCCACATGACGGCGCTGCAATCATTCTGTTCAGCTCCTGCTGTTCATATGTCCTATAGAAATATAACATATATAATGTTTAATGGTGAGTTCTTACACACAGCAGATCCTTTTTAATCAGAATATTAATAACAGATTGTTATTCCAGTTTAAACTTATTTGTAAAACATGTAAAGATAGATTAAAAACCGAATACCAAACTCCATATAAAAATCTAACAATTTAATACGTCTTTGTATATTAGCAAAGAAATATAATTCACAAACAACACATTGTGACATTTTATAAATAAACTGTTTGTTCTCTCAAAGTCGGCACACAGAGGACCTCGAATATATCATTATATTCCTAATATTTGTACTTTTATATTAAAGACTTACGCTCTCGCGCCCTGTGCTGCCCTTGGCCACATTAGAGGCTGACTTTAAATATATGTATTAATATTTGTGTGTCTCCTTCAGCTCATACTTCAAAAGAACAACTTTAAACTGTACAGTTTGGTACAAACAGAAAAATAACATGTTCATTGATACAAGCTTTAAATCTGCTCGACAAACATAAACTACTATGTACAGATATGATATATAAACATATACAATCATTAATTTTATTTTTTTTAATGTATTCTAAATATGTCAGATTCTTGTATGTGTACACATTTCTGACCAATAAGATAAAGATAAATCCTGAGATTGTCATAATTTATACAATAAAGAGTTTTATAAAAATAGTTTATTAAAATTATTAGTATTATTATTGCCCCAAAGATATAAAAAATGCAACGGGGGAAATACATCGTTTCTCTTCCTCGGTGAGGACGTTAAAGGGTTAACGTGGCATTAACACTACACTACCCACAACCCCCCGCGTTGAGCCGTGTTGTAGGAAATCCGCTTGCGGTGGATTATTGTAATCCGACAGCGGGTCTGGACGACACATCGGATCACGACAGAGAGCCAGCAGCGGCCTGTAGCAGCTGCAGCTGTCCGACACTAACCGGATAAAGTTATGATCTGACGCACTCTGCTCGCTGCTCCTGAACGCACCATCGGCGGTTCCCGGGCCGTTTCCTGCGCAGACTGCCCGCGGAGCAGCACCTTTAATCTGCTACTGAACACATCTCCCCCTTCCTCCCTTCCTCCCTCCCCCCCGGCAACTCTAACTCCAGCCCGGTTCGGTTCGGCCCGGTTCGGCTCGGCTCGGCTCGGAGCGAAGCGCTGCTGCTGACACACTGCTAGCTAGCGCGGCTAGCTCACTCCAGCTAGCCTGCTAGCTCGGAAGGAATCGACCGAGTGGAGGCAGAAAGTGAATCCGCTGCTGGAGCACCGACACCGGACGGTTG